AATAGCTGCCCCAAGTCAATTACCACGTTTAGCATGTGCAATTCCACAGACTCTGTGGTTTCTGAGAAACTACTCCCAGCTACTAATGAGTTTTTCAACACTGTAACTGCTTACACAGGCTGCACGCTTCGTCTCTTTACTCCTAGATTCAGGGATTAACTTGCTTAAGGCTTCTGTTAGTCAAGGCCACTGCTAAAGACAGAAGAATCTAAACAGCAAGCAGCGTGTTTGTTAAAAAGCTTCTTTCCTAAGCAAGGTAGAGCCAAACAAAACCTGATTTTATACAGAGTCCTGACATTTTAGTCTTGATCTCTTAAGGTAGTTGATTTTGCAAACAACCCCAAGATTTCAGCCTGCTGACAAACTGCCTGCATTTGTGTTCTTCAATTCTCTTCAGCCCTAAGTCATGCATTCTTCTTCAATTTAAGTAACTTTCTTTAAATTAAGTTACATTTCAAACAGCAAATCCTGCAACAAAGCCCCACTTCCAGCAAATCCCTGTACTATGACAGATCATGAGAAGTACAGTGAGAATATTCACGACACTGAGATGGAAGAAATCCGTAACAACTCCTATTTCTACTTGTCATGTATCAACACGACCATGCTCAATACTGCATAGCTGTGCAGTTGACTCAGTCCGAGAAAAATGTGGTTTGTGCAGGTTTCTTTGAGCCCCTAACCAGAAAGTAATAATTAATTCAGTTCAAAAGTCAAGCTCTGCTCTTCTGCAGAGCAATGTCTTGTCACTGGCCAGCTTGGGCCACTTAACATCAGCAAACCTGGGCCATCAGTGCTGTGATGTGAAGCACAGAGCAATTGTTCACTGGGTTTTACACCCTGCTTGGATAAATCCTGTCTGGGACACTGCAACCAGACTTACTCTCTTATCAGCAGAGCTGTGAGAAGCTGTTTTGTTTAACAAAAGGCACAACTTACATGCTCTCCGGAGTTACTCTTCATTTCAATATTTAATCCTCCAGGTCAGATGCATACCACACTAGCAGCAGAAGCCTTTTCACACCCTGGTAGGTTCATTTAAATCAACATCACCTAGGTTCGATGATATTATTAACGTTACAGCAGCTGCCCGGAGCTGCTGTTTTACACATCTCCAGCACTGATGTGGTACTACCTTCAGCTACCTTCAGGTTTTTCTTTTTATTCTTCCTACAACCTTTTTCATTTTATTCTGAGAAAAAAAAAAAAAATACAGCTAAAATGTTTCCAATTTGCTCTAACGGGCTTGCCAAACAGCAAAAACACGCCATCACATCTGCTGAAGGAATGGTTAAAGCCAGAGAATCACCGAATGGTTTGGGTTGGAAGGGACCTTAAAGATCATTTAATTCCAATCCCTGCCCCCAGCCCCGTGGGCACTGCCAGGGCTGGGGCACCTCCAACTCCTCTGGGCAGCCTGGACCAGGGCCTCAGCGCCCTCAGAGTGAAAGAGGTTTTGTTTGGAGAGAAGGATATAGGAAGGAAAACCACAAAGGGACAAGTTTGACTAGCCTTTCCATCACTCTTTGTGTCATACTGACCTTGAGAGGATTTCATGCACTCACATGTTTAGAGGCATAAATACTACCAGAAGATCAACTGCTTTAAGCGTCACCCTGAAAAAAACTGTTGTAGAAAAAGTAACGTTCTGTATTCTATTTAGGGACTTAAGTAAAATTTTAACATACAAAACTATGTCTTTTCTTTAGTGATTCGCCAGCATATCCCATCCTCCCAACACCACTTAACACTGGAAGGTCTATTTTGACAAATTAAAGAAAACAAGGAGAGAAAACTCAGTGAATACTAAATATAAATCTCTTGCCTTTCGTACTGCAAATGTGCCGAGAGCTTGGTTATGGAGACATGTCCAGAACATGACCTCAGATGTATTTGGCCCGTCCTGAGTGTTATGTGAAAGGTGAAACGTGTTTCTGTACAACCTATTACTACCAACTACATAATATTTAGAAAGCCTTCAAGTGACCTCTTTCTAGGAAATATGACAATATGGCCAAGGGGGGTGGGAAAATCAAAATTTTAGCTTTCCAGTTGGGGTGGTTAATTTGTTAGCCTTTTTAAAACAACCGACTGGAAGAACATTCGTCATCTCCATATGGCATGAGCAACTTGTTAGCTGTTCTGTGGTTGCCTGAGGTTCTTGTCCCTGCCCCAAAACATGAAGGCTCGTGAGCTACAGGGGTGCTGAGAACTTCCTCATGTAAAGCTGAGCTGCCTGGGTATTTAAACTTTTCCTCTTGCTTAATTATATGGGTTTACGAGTTAATTAAGCATCGGAGCACACAGGCACCATTTTAATCTAACACTCAAGTTTTTCTACTGTTCACACTCTCTGGCATTCCTAATTGATTCTTTTTTAATCAACGTAATTGGAGCCAAGCATATGCTTTCCATAAAGGCATATTCACAAGCTTCCTAAGTTTTAGCTATTCTTCAATTGAGAACTAAAAAATAAAATAATTTCTTCCCCAAAAGGCAGTTTTGACAGCTGACGGAGACTAACCCCAGAGCAGTAATGGATTATTGCAGTTTTTAAGAGGTAAGGGCTGAACTAGAACGTGGTCGCAGTCTTCACATCATACAGCTGATCACTGTGGCTACCTGGCAGCACAATTCGTTCAGAGTAACTCAAACACGGATACCACCAGCACTGGGACCTGCTTCCTGCTGTGAGAAGTAAGAAAAGCCAGTACGAGCTGCTCTTCACATTCACAATCTCACAGAAACGTTACAAAACCACATGTGCAATTTGTGAGTTTTTACTACAAATATACCACATCATGGGAAAGGCTTCAAAACATGGGATTTATACAGCCAGATGCAAACCTTTACAGTGTAGACACCTCCCTGCTCTCTTTAGAGCCAGTGGACAGAAGCAGGCAGACAGCAATACGTTTCCTCCCAAAGTGCATGTCCTGTCAAATGACTCACAACTCAAGTTATGCCTGTACCTCTCTTCTGGTTGTAAGAGGAACATGCACTTAAAAAAAAATATATCTTTGGAAAGAGTTCACAGTCTTGTTACTCAAGTCTGGACTCCTGGAGGAGGTGACAAACCAGACTGAGTGGGAAGAGAAAAAAGCACACCTGACAAAAAGAGACCTGAGATCATTAGAAAGTAGTAAATGCTATCACCAGGCTTCTGAAATAGGAATTGAGGGTAAGCAAGGGTAGAGAAAGTGGACCTGTAAAAAAGCTGAGTTAATGTGACAGATGAGAGGGGAATTCAGGACTACGTGGAGGACCTCTCTTCCATTCCCAAAGAATTCTCCCAGCTAGCAAGTAAACAGGCAAAAAAAAAAAAAGCACCTATATAAGGACATAAGTTAAAAATTTCAGCTTTTCCTGGAACTAGACAATGTAATATATCCTTGATAAGGCACACAGAATCCACTGAAATATAATCAGCATCAGGCCTGGTGCTGAGGACTGGAAAAAAAATATTCCTTTTAGGACAAGGCAAAATAAAGGAGTACCTCTTAGCTCAGAGGCAGAGCTAAACAGGAGCTACACCCAACAGCATACCCAGAAACTGCAAGAATGCACCTGGACTCTCACCTCCCCAGACCTGATCAAAGCACACAGCTCCAGGAATCAGGTTTCAAAAGAGCACTGATGGGCACCCAGCAAGGGAAGGTTTAGGAAAGCTGATGTTTTCATTTCTATTCAGCTTTATAACAGACAGACACTTTCAGAAGAAAAGTTCAGATTTGACAGGGCTCCAGTTGGTCATGTTCATGACCAGCTGGTATAATAGCGAATGTTTTCTCTGGTTTGTGCTTCACACTACAAAGAAATAAAGGAAACAGGGAAAATATTCACGAACAAAACAATCAGGATGACCAACATACCTAATGTTACATTTTTGTTAAGAGAAAATGTAATATAAAAGTTCTCTTCCAATGGATTGTGTCTGAGTGTAACCAGAACTTCTTAACGTCCCCTGGTTGTTTTCCCCTAAAAAACAAGACAAACTACAGACTGCCTTCTAAATGTTGAAGTGTTTTACAGAATCAAGAAAAAGCACTTTTAAATTTTAAGAGAACTTATAAAAGATTGACTTCCGAATAAGCGATCTAGAGCCAACTTTCCCTGCCACTTTCTTCACTGTAGAATTGGGGCTACTGCTTCACACAGCCAACAGTGACATCTACTGCTAGCACTACCGAAAGACAACTTCTGCAACTGAAAGCCAAACACGACTTCTGAAATACTACACATTTGCTTCTAAAACTGTTCATTTGTAACATACCTACTGTTGTAATTTCAGAACTGGAGTTTGCAAACTGTGCTGTAAAATGCCTTTTAAACACAACCTACTCCTTTTAATGCTATTATACCTCCCCACAGCTAACACTCTTGAACAGCTGTAGTTAAAACCTATCTGAAAAGGGTTGTTGTGTTTACATTCGTACCAGTATTTCATGTTTTTCACCAGAGACAGCTAAAACAAGAGTGCAGTTACTATACCTGTCATGTACTACACGCCATGGAATAACTGCTTCCTCACTAAGCAGTTCTCTTCTGGATTACAAGGGAAGAGTACACAAAATGTAAGTTCAGTTCAGTGGTTTAACAGAAAAAATATAGTCCTTATTGTGTAGCTATTGCATAAGCTATACCATCACTCAAGCAGCTTTTAGCAAGGTGCTTCTTTTCATTATTTTATTTAAATCAGTTCTCATTTTGTTGAGGAACACAGAGTAAGGGCTTTCCACAGAGATTCCCTAACATAGAAGCCTTCAACACTTGGAAGGTAGTCCCTGGGCCAGCTCTAGGTCAGTGTCCACTGGAAGTAGCCCAGAGGATACCAAGAAACACGTATCAAGACTCACCTCCTCATCACTAGTAGCAAACCCACACTACCTAAATAGCTCCTTTGCACGGTCCAGTTCAGAATTTTATTGATTTCAAAAGGCTCCTTCCACATACCCAAATAAGTTAAAATGCCTATGCAGATATATTCTCCAGAATCTTACCTAAGCAAAGAGAAGACATCGTAAGAGTTACGAACGCAGTTCTGATCCACTTGGAGAAGACTATTCTTCAGGGCACCTGAGTGATCCTTAAGGCAAAGAAAAAAATGGTAATTTAGAAATCAAAAAAGCTTCCATCTGGACTAAAAGCATGCACTTTGATAATAAATGACCTTGCATTTAATGCATTTTAAATCTGTCTTCATACAAGTTCACATACTGTTGGCAGAAGCAATTAAAGAAGGCAACAGCAGCAGCTCAAGTCTGGCCTACAGGAACACTTACCTATAAAAGGATAGGTCAGTAGCATATTGATCTGTGTTCGAGACACAGAATTTGAACTTACTAATCCATTACTGCATAAAGTTATTTTATACGTAGGATGTGATTTACAGTACTGCCATTCTTCAAAGCTGAAAGCCCATTACACATTCAGCACCGTGCCAGAGATGCACAAGACCATTAGATAGAGTCCTGTTCTTCACTCATGCTTCCACGTGTTTAAAAGATCAAAGCAATCTGAAGCTTTGAAAGATATGAACCAGTTTCTGGAAGTTACAAACACCCTGCGTCATCCCTAGGAAACCAAAGCCTACGTGCTGCACTAGAAGCATGACACCAATACAGGCCAAGAGCCATTCTTTATGTCACAAGGGTCCAATATCATACTTTGTGTGGCTATGCCTGACATGCCAAATTCCATGAAATGCCACAAACTCTCAGAACTGGTTCTTCACATGACGAAGTGAATTCTAACTAGGTCAAACAAGCCAGCAGCATTGCCAGAGACATAACGGATTGCAGAAAGAAGGCGTTATTCTAGAATATGAAACAGCCCAAGGTGGTACACATGACCAGCAAACTCTTCAAATGGTGATATGGATGTGCTCTGATGTGACTGCAACAACCCCTACCTAGATATATTTTGCCTGCCTCAACAGGCTGTTTCCATTTCAAGATGTTGAGATACAGAGTTACATGTCAACATCTCCTGACAACTGTATGAGCCACAGGCCATGCAGCTGACATGACTTTGCACCAAAAATAAGGCTCCACTTAAATCAGGAGATCTATACACTACATATGAATCATATTGTAATAGAGGCACTGTAGCAGCACTGCCTCAGCTCCTCAATCCTGTTCTCAGATGCTAGATTGATCTTACATGCTGAAATCCATACATATATCCCCTAAAAAAAAAAATCTTAAAAGGAAGACACCGTAATCCCTGAATCAGTTAGGATGGTGAAAAACTGAAAACATTTTGTACCATGAAGTCACTCTCATCAAACACTGCCTTCAGAAAGTGAAGTTTTTCAGAGAACAAGTGGAATGGCCTAGAAGTTGCTGCAGGAAGAAAAGAGCTCCCAGTAGCTGCATGTTTTAGCCTCTCCTCCTGCTGTATGACTGTATTGAAAAGAAATGCCCAACAAAGAAGATACAGTGGTCCAAACAAACTCCTAAACTATTCTATCTTGAGGATATTTGCAGATGCAAATGAAAGGTTTCAAGTTTAGTTATCACAGAGGCTTACCCTTTAGAAGTGGCGTTTGTCTACTTTTCTGCAGCAGTATTTATTAGATACAGGCACATGTCTTTGCAATCACACATAAAAGCCCTCCTTCTGGAAACTGGCCAGGATTTAGCTACTAAATATAGTCAGAGCAGCCTCTACCTGTAGGTAGATGTAGGTATCTCTGACCTGTAGGTAGATGTACGTGATGTAGACCACGTGCTGTAGAGAGAGAGATCAGCTTTTCAAAAGTCTTACTGCTTGACTGTTGGAAAATGTAGCTACAGCTCAGTGTCCCTGGATTATAACTTACTGTTTGGTCTGTCCCTGGGCACAGCCAAATGCTTTGAGTTATGCAGAGCCCTACAGGCTAGCTCCTGCTTTATTTCTTTAAGGAACCAACAGAAAGTTGGTCCAAGTAAAAGCTTTACCTGCTTCCTTTCCTAAATGCACTTTCTGAAAAGGTGTGCACTTAGTCACATGGTCTGAACTTTTGGGTAGACCTGTGCGGTGTCAAGAGTTGGACTTGATGATCCTTAAGGGTCCCTTCCAACTCAGGATATTCTATGATTCTATGATTCTATGATCACCACAGGAGAGAGGGAAAGTCTTACTAGCTAGCAAGAGTAAACATAAAATTGTTGAAAAATTTTGAAAGCCAGGAAGACATTGAGGAAAAGAGGAGGAAAAAGGTGGTTTTAGGAAAGCCAGTATAGCACCTAGACTTTATTTTATCAAAGCTGGCCAAAAAGCAGTGCTACACAGAAACATGCAGTCTCAGGTAAAACCAAGAGGATTCAGAAGAATGCTCAAGGGTCTGGAATACTTTAAATCCAGGCTGACAGCTTCAAAGATCTCTGAAGTTCCCATCTATTTCTTACTCAGATGTTGGTTCAGCTCAAGCAATTCCAGACAGTTTCTCTGTATGATTTTGAGGGAGAACGGAACTAATAATGAACAAATGTTTTAATGGTCCTGTATCAAAATTTAAGGAAACAGGAAAGTAAGGTGGACATGGTTGTTGCAAAAGGAACAGTCCTAGTGAAGTCTTCTAGCAAAATCAATGCATGGTTTAGTATGGAATAATAAAAATCTTGAACAAAATTGTACCTCCAGCTTCTGCTTAAGTGGAAAGTCAAATGTGATTAAGGTCAAAGCTTATTTGCTTGCAATAGCTGCTTTGACCTTAAGCACACATTCATTTACCCAACCTCATTGTAAATGCTAGGAGTTATATGAGCACTGTGAGATACCTACAGCAAAGAAGTAAAACCCTCAGGGCTCAGAAGGCACATGGAAAGGCTTTTGTAACTTCATTTCCCAACCTTTTTCTCATTGTGATCCGAGTATCCAATGTTAAAAGGAAACAACAACTTGATTAAGAACATTACCCATGGGAAGTGTTTGTTTTCTCCTTGGGTACCAGGAAAAGCTATGTTGCTGCTGGACAGAAGGGATGAGAGTGGTAAAATCCCAAATCTCTCTCTCAAGAATACAGAATTTAAAGGCCCTCTGCCATTCAGTGCAAAAAAGAAAAAAAGAGTCAGTTATATTAACATATATTAAATATTACAGAGTCAGTTCTATTAACAACAAAGATAGGACTCTTATCCTGCTAACACAACAAATGCTATACTGAAAGTGCTTGGTTTACCTACAATTTCTGTTCCAGTTCTATTTTGCTCCTTTACAGGACAGGAGCCTCCTACAGAGCAAGCTTTCTGAGCATACACACATGTATTTTGGAGGTTACCTTATAAAAAAAAAGTGGGCTTAAAGGTTCTAAACGACTTAGATGCATCACCTAGTGAAGACGTAACCTTCCTTTTTGAAGGTGTAACCTTCTCTTTTCACTTCAAAGTTCACAATTCAGCAACTACAGCATTCCTACACGGGCATGCTGTTCTTGCTGTTTGATTACCAGGGATGCACCCACCTGATCAATGCATCTCCAGCGTTAAAATAGCTGTGACAATGCTAGTTGTTCCTGTTCTACTCCAGATTGCTCTGCTACAATTGTTTTCAGGCTCCCACCTCTCACTATAAATAAGAGGATAACACAGCAAATAGGAACTTGTATTTATGGATCCAGTAGTGCTCAGTAGCACCTCCATGGTGCTTTTTGAAAAACTGAGTTCATAAAGTCTCCAAAATATTAGTCAGCTTCCAACAATTTCCTTATTTTGGCCCATACATGGCATTAATGAATGAAAAGGACATTTATAACCATAAAAACTTAGTTTCCCTATTATTACAAGGCACTTAATTGTAAGAATCCATCAATCTAGTTTGGCTATTTAAATGGTAGCTCAAAGGATTATTAAAATAATCGGGCTTATTTGGAACAATGCACAGAAAAAATAAGCTAAGAGTACAATGCTATAACTTTATTCATAATGAGATGTGTAAGAACAGAGGACACATCCCACACTGAAGTGTCTTTGTGCACAGGGTTTTCATTAGACTTGCAAAACAGCATTTGTACACATCTAATTTCACAAGGCTTATTATGTGCCAGTGCAAGGAAACCAGAACTGCTATCCCATCCACTTATTACATCAAAAATTTCAATATGAGGCTTATGTCTTGAACTATTATGAAGACCTAACCCCCCCATCAAATAAAAAGCATCCCAAGAAATCAGAAAACACTGACACAGCCAAGCAGAAACGGTGTCGTGCAGCTTCCACAGTGACAGAGCCACACACCTGACACAAAAAAAACCCCTCCATACAGAAGGTTTCAGGTAGTGCTTTATACACAAGTCAGTATACTCAAAGTGAGGCTGTATTTGGGATAGCCAGCATCAATAATTGCGAAATTAGAAAGCAGAAGAGATTAAGACAGAAGTACCCCTTAGGAACACAGAGCTTCTGAAGGTTATAGGAAGATTGTGCCAAGAAGTTGGGCTTGGACTGCACACAAGTCACTTACATACAGGAGGTACGTACTATACCAGAAGATATTTAGGTTGAGGAACTGACAAAAGGCAACCAGAAGCTGAAGAACAAAATAAGTTTCTAGCTCTTGCAGCTAGAATAAATTATAGGGAAGGACAGAAAAAAGATGTGTTCTTCATACGCTAGGACTGTACTTGCAACTTTGCTAAGAGCACATACAAGAACCAAAATACACCTGGGAGCAAGATTAAGGATGGCGTTACCAACACCGAATACAGGCTTGGATTACTAACAATAAAATCATGAAAACCTGGAATTGCATCCTGCTTCAGCAAAATTGAGTTAACAGCACCAGAAAGCAGAGCCCGAGCTGCCTACCACAGCATTTGTACCTGAAGAATAACCACCAAAATACCAAACACAATTTGAAGGCTTGCACATGGTCAGAGTTTTGCACATGCAGCCACCTTGCCACTTGCTGCACTCTCCCCATATAGGAATGGCTACTCGTGGGGTTGGCTGTCCCCACAAGACTGGACCTTGCTGGTTCCAGTACACGAAGAAACTATGCCAAAAATCATTTTCTCTCCAGCCACAGACTCCTTACACAACCTATCCATAGGACAGCACTGCCACCAGCAAGTTGGGATAAAAAAGCTGTTAGCTGTGCCCTTTATATCAGGTAAGTTTAAACTTTTTCATCATCTATGTAGTAATCAGCACTGCTATACAATAATTTGGCTGCGTTCACTAGCCAGACAAACAAATATTACAGTGAAATGGTTGCAATAGGGCAAATAGCTTCAATTTAAGAGCTGCAAATTCTGGTTTTAAGATCAATAACCACCACTTAATGCGGTTTTATATTCACCATGAAAATCAGTCTCAATAACCCACCATTTTCAAGATGCTTTAAGTGTGAATGAAGTGTCTGCCTCAAGCAGTAAAGTCTCAAAGCTTATTTGCAGTAATCGGGGTTTCTTTGGACCTAAAATGCTAAGCTCTAAGTCTTCCATGTATACCTCCAACTGTCCAAGCAACAGAAGTGAGATAACAGCTCTGTCATGTCAAAAAAAACAGTCCTCAAAACAAAGCATTTTAATGTTCTGAGCGCTCAAGTGTGAAAATTTAAGTTTAGAAGTTGAATTTCAGCTTGTCACCAGCACTAACAAGCCAGAACAAATAAGAGAGATCCTCACCTTCTGTTCAAATGAAGCTCCATAATAACCATCATTGAGACCAAAAATAATCTCGTTTGGGTTTCTTGCATGTATCTACAAGAGAAGAAAGATAATTTTAAGGTCAACTTAATATAGTTTTACACTCCAATTGAGCATAAATTGCTGTATATGACTGATGGTCAAGCAGTTTCTCAGTACCTGTAATTCCAGAAGCAGATGAAACAGAAAAGTGAATTTAAACACAGAAAAAAAAATTTGCTTTACAGCTTTAATAAGTCACAGATTATGTTCAGCCATTCTGCCTTGAGATCACGAACACTAGTCAGAGCATCTTTCCTACTGTTGCATCTCAAGCTATCAAAAAAAAAAAAAATTAAGAGACCAGCAAATGAATCAAAGAAGCCTCAAGAGTAACTGGCATGTACGTGATATGAACTTAAAACCTCAGAAATAGGCTGTTAGGGTTGTAATAGCTGTAATACTGAACTAGTTTTGTGTCTAATATTTTGCTGTTCATGTAAAGAACGTTATTTCAAATAAAAGCATGCACTAGGGAATATTCTTTAGGGAGCCATTTCTTCTGTTGAGTAAAAACAAAGGGAACATTAAAAGACACTACACCGAAGGATACAGGGTCTGGCTGGGAGGGAGTTTTCTTTTTTGCAGTCCATATGGTGCTGTCTTTTAGATCTGTGACTAAAACGGCGTTGGTAACAGCAGTATTTCAGCTATCACTGAGCAGTGCTCACGCAGCATCAAGGCCACCTCTGTTTCCCACTCCACCCCTGCAGTTACTCACTGGGGGAGGCAGCAGCAGGTTGGGAGGGGGCAGCTGACCTGAAGTGACCAAAGGGAAGTTGCGTGCCACACAACCATCACCCTCTGAAATAAAAATTAGGGCTTAGTCTGTCCACAGCAGCTGTTGCTCAAGTGGCTGGGCATCAGTCTGTCAGTGGGAGGTGGTGACTACTTTCGCATCCCTTCTGTGTTGTTTTCCAGCTTCCCTCCTCTTTTTTCTTTCACTTAAGCTGTCTTCATCTCAACCCACGAGTTTTTCCTCACTCTTGCTCTTCTGATAGATCTCATCAACTAATCAGTCCAGAAGTGCCCGTTGGAATTAGAACATGTATGATTCAGAAGGCACCAGATTTTTGTGGTTTTATTATTTGTGTGATAGAGGTTTCTTTTAAGCCACTTTTACCGTAAACTTAACACAGAAAACACTGTTCACCTCTTTCAAAAGGCTCCTAGTAAGGGACAAATACCAAACTTTTATCAACTCTCTAAATCTTGTAAGGTAAACTCTGCAAAATGAAGATTTTTGACAGTGCCATTCCCAGAAGAATGAACTGAAACTGTAATATACACAAATATTAAGACCTGTGTTCATTTAACTGTGTGTACAATCACACTGCTACTTCCTTGAATCAATTTCTGCATTGCAATTTAACACACCAAGTCCTAGCAGTACCATTTGGGAGGCTCACTCAGCAATGGTTGCAAACTAAATAAATACTCAGCCAGTCAGGATTTAAAGCCCTGAAGTGAACTAATGCAAATCTAGACAGTAAGACTTTAACGTTCACCTTTCAAATGTGTACATTTCCTTTCTTAGTATTCTATATTTATCTAGCCGTTCCATTTCTCTAAGTCAGAAGTAGAGACAAACTGTTCCACATTACCTGCTGTCCCAAGTACTTTAAGCCATCTAGGTTGACTTTCCATTCGATCAAAAGCTGGAAGTGCTCCTTCTTGCCTCCCCAGATCCTCACAACGAAACACGAGACAGATGTATCGAGACGATCAGGCATTATTCCAAAGTCCAGACTCCTCCACGTTGGATTCTGGTGGTATGCAAAGGGAAATAAGAACAACTTAAGCTCAAAGCAGACTTAACATCTAGGCACAATATCAGAACGTAGCAAAGCCCATATCAAACATGGATTTTAAGAAAAAGACACTTAAACATCAGCCATTTCAGGGTTAACAAGGAGTTGAAAGCAACAACTGCTTCCTTAGTTGTCTTTTGAAAATGAAATATCTTAAATAATATATTCTGTAAAGCACTGCAGAAACTCCATGGGCTCTGCTGCCTTCTATTATAAAACATTGAAGAATTACTTCATTAATTGAGTACAGCCAATTTGAGAACTTTAAAACTGGAAGCAACATTATTTTCCATGTTATAATTTAGCTTCTGAAAGCCAGGGTATAGCTTTCATTGCAAGAGTTGAATTAAAACTCTGATCTATTCCCCCAATAATTAAGTTGGCATAATTTATTTACAGATTTGTTTCCGTTCTCCTCTTTGACCGATGCTGATGGCAATCCCCAAGTGTTGCCACAAAGAGCTCCTCTTTGTTCTGAGGGATCAAGCTTGCATCTCAGCAAGAAAGTAGCATATGTTAAGCTGAATGATGAACTTCCTCCTATTCCACTTGGACCCAGATTTGCAAACACGAAGCACTCCAAGAACTGACTCACGTCTGATAACATTTAAATAAGGACTTACAGAATCTGTTGTAATTGGTTCAAGCTACAACCAAAACAGAGTCAATCCAACACTGATAGGGGCAAGAGCCAGTATGCAACTTTTGGACTTCCCCAGGCCTTAAACCACTGGGTGTCCAAAATGCAGAAATAGGAAAAAAAATATATATACATCCCTCTCTTGCTTGATTCCTGGTCTCAAAGATGAAAACTCCTCCACAACAAAAGCAGGAGCAAAGCTAGCCAGTAAGTTTCACAGAAGGAATAAACTTAAGGAAGTTTCCTTAAGGAAAAGAGATGCTTGGTAGCTACTCAGCAAAGACACCAGGCTATTAACACCAGGCCCACAGAAGATGTATGGAATTTGCTCAGTGCTACACGTTATATAGATTTCTGTCATCCTGTTTCCTTCGGTTCGATTCCCTTCTTGTTATTTATTTTCCTGATGTGGAATAGGCAGAACTGAAAATCCGAAGGTCTCAAGAAATACAAGCCTGAGCAAGGTAAGAGCCTTGCAGATGCAGACAGCTTTTCCTCCATTCAGGAGGCTTTTGAAGCATTTATAGCTCAGTGTGCTCTAACGGTGCACTTCCACCTCGTTGATGCAGACACTGGAGACTGTTCAGCAGGTTTTCAGACTGCCTTGCCCAACACTTGCAACATCCTACTCCCAGAGACCTACCCCTTCTCCATTGTAGTAAACTGTTCAGTTCTGGTCCTTCCACTGCTCTGAACTGGAGAATTTAGTAAATAAGATGATCCTATACTCTGTTTTTTTTAAACCTATTAGCTCTGCAGAGAATATACATTTGTTTATACATGCAGGTAGGTGTTCCTTACCATTCACCTACACAACAAAGGGATTTTCAAAGAACCTAGTGGTATATCCTACAGCACTGTCTGATTCTCCCTTTATCTGGGACATTATGCCTTGTTTCTGCTTCTACACCATGGTTGCTAAACTACACAAAACTTCCAATGAGTCTGTACACCCAGCAAGTGATATACAATCACCCTTGAATAAGCAAATTGCAGACATTTAAATAAAAGCAGCTGCTTCTGTTGCGAACACCAGAGAGAACAGGAAAAAAAAAAAAAAAAAGGATGAACTGTAAACAGACCTTAGGCATGACACATTCAGTTCCCAGACACTGAAAGAATACTTCAGTGAGAGAAATAGATTTACTGGGACGAGTTAAAATTCAGCTAACATTACTTGGCTTATTTGGCATTCTCAGCATTTAAAGGGTTGATATACTGTAAAGCTTAACCTGAACACTGATCAGTTTTCACAGGAAAACACTCTGCCTTTGGAGTGTTTAGTACCAAATGCAGAGGTATCAACAGGCCCTTGTTCCACAGCTGGAATAAAAACCATGCATTTCTACTAGTCACCCACTCTATTCCAACCCTTGTGGAAAGAACCTGAAAAGGGAGGATGAGAACGTGATGCTCCTAACAGAAACAGAGTAAAAATATGCATTTAATGGTCACAGCACTCAGCAGAGAAACCTATATATTGCAGCAAACAACAATTTCAAAAGGAAAGGTTTTCTTATATGAAAGTAACTTACCAGAGAATTCTTGATCACTTCACTCTTATAAAATTCTAAAGAAAAAAAAAAGTAAAAAATACCTTTAAATTAGTTTAAACACTGATATAAATCTTAATAGTTGAAATAAAAAAGCTAGAACAAGTAACTTTAAGTCAAAAACTTCTTTAATTTTAAACTACCCACTGACACTTAGTTACTAGAAGTCATTATTTCAATGTAAAAGTTTCATCTTTATACACAAGATGATCCTGAGGAATTCCTGTGCCTTTGGTTTCTGTGAAAAAAAAAATGTTTAGCACTTCACAACACTTGGTTGCCATTTGCAAAGTGACAAGTTTATTACGTGACATCTTCCTGAAGAGTGCAGAAGGGATAAACTAATTGCACTCCTTTCCTGAAGAGCAAGGGTGACCTGTTCTGGATGCTTAGAAAGTGAACAGCCAAATCACCTCACAGAGGTACAAAGAACCCTGTATTTAAGTGGAAATAAGCAACTGCTGACACATGGACCTTGGCTCTCCCAGCCAAAAAGAGCTTGAAGCCTTTAAGTGGACAACTACAGGCTGACAACCACACTTCAGATGCAGAAATCTATTACAGGTTCGACCAACCACCACAAGAAAGTCCAAGCAGGAGGCTCAAGAGTTACATATTCTTACAACAGCATCTTCAAAAAGCAAGGTTCTACTCCTGGAAATAAAATGTGGAAGCAACAAAAGTCACTTGCAAAGCTCCAAGCATTACAAGCATCAAAAAAAGCATGAAAATATATTTTTAATAACATCTCTCCATAATGAGGAGCTATAGGCTGGGATGGAAAAAAAAAAAAGGATTAAAGAAAAATGGAATCTAACACTCAGTTATCAAAAGCAGCACAGATGACTGGATGCTTCTTGTCACTGGCTGACAATGCTATTTTTGTCAGTCTTCGATAGTAGCAAGTACTGGTGTACGCTCTGTAAAATATCTGGTACCCACAGAGCAGAACGCTCTCTCCCACACAAAGCTACTCCTGCTCCAAAAGCTTTTGCTTTTCTGCACACTTGGAAGCTCCGAAGTTCCTTAAACTCCAATTTTTGGCTGGGGGAAAGGAGGGCAACAAAAATAGGTTTATCTAAGAAGCTCTACCACAGCTGCCATCTGTTTTGCTTCCTTCCCTACCTACCCTGTAAGATTTTATGAGGCTCAGGAAACTAAAGAGCTCTTTTCCACCATTAGTGTAGATGAAGCAAATAATGGCAGCAGGTTATCGAGACCTGAAAAGGACAGAAAATTAGCAGCATAAGAATTCCACCTAGTAAAAGAGTTGGCAAGAAGCCCGTTTTACCTTTGTATATCTTGGTGTTATCACACAGGTGAAGAGTGAAGTACGTGTCCAGGAGGCGATAGCCATTCTTATTGATAATGTTGCGTGCTGCAATATTCCTAAGATGACGAAGTCGGCGCTAAGAAGGAGGAAAAAAGAAATTTCTTGGTGTGAGATCACATTGTTTACTTTTTTTTTTTTTAAATAATTTTAACGATTTCCAAAGCATTGTTGTCACAAAAACACCAGACGCTCCACTTTTTCACTTTTTTTTTTTTTGGCAAAAAGCTAGTGTGAACATTAAGCATTCAGCAAAGCCACAATAAACTGTTTGGGCAAGCAACAACAATCCCCCATGAGCTCAGATTAAGCAATGCTGATATACAAAACAAGCTATTCTTCGTGTCCTGTACGTAACTTTTACTCAACACATACAACTCATCTCAACTATTAATTATTTCCCATCCATATGTGACACTAGTAGCACTGAACAGCAGCAATGTCACCCAGGTGTTCTGCACATTAGGAGTACTTTTTAATTATTTCCAACACAAACTAGCAGATAAATCTCTAACATAATCCACCACCAAGTCCAGAACCATGTGAAATTGGTTGAATAAAGCTTCCTGAAGTCACAGCAATCCCAGAAACTGTTAGAGCATCCCTAAATAAAAAACAAAGCACGTAGAGATCCTTACCAAGTTATCGTTCGTTTTAACTACTTAAAGCAATTCTGTAGGGTATTTTAGTATTTCTGAAGTTATTGCTTAGCTTTGCTTCTTGTTTCAACTTTGAAAACCTGTGCGTGCATAGCACAGACCCTCAGCAAGCTGCCACTTTGGATGCACAAAGCTCTCCCCAAACCCTCCAGCATAGTATTGCAAAACCCGTCTCCCAAAATCTCTCAGCCTACCAGTGTCTCCCCCACCTACCTCGGGGATGTGGACAAATGGCTCCCTGTCCTTTTGGGATGGCCACAAACCACCTACAAGCCTCAAACAACTGGTTTAGTACGTCCTTTTACCACATGCTTCCTTTCACAGCATGCTTCTTTCTCCCCAAAAACAGTGTTAGGCTGCCTGTCTGGATCCACCTTCAGAGAAACCCTCCTGCATCTGCCAGAAGAGGACTCGAAACGCTCGCAAAACCAAGAGACAGCAACTTGTCTGCCTGCAGCTTGTCCTGGGTTTTTAACAAGGGCTGAAAGGCCAGCATCAGGTTTGGAAGGAGGACTCTCACATCTCTATTCACATGACAGACTCACAGCCACTGGTGAATAAGCTCCAGCCTTGTTTCTGGAGTCTATTTACGACTTAAGACTGTAAAAACAGGGCCTGAGACAGGATGCCAAGAAACATCACAGCACCACTTCTTGATAGTATATGCATGTGATATAAAGTTTAAAAAATAGTAATCTTGTAAGCAGCTTAATTGCAAGGCTACACTTTTTTGTGTGTTAGAAATTGGTATCAAGAATGTCAACTGGAAGAATAAGGTTCACTTAAAAATTACATGGATCCTTGTACATTATTTCAGATCTCAAAGCTGTGCAGTTCTCCTGCCCACTTCCTAAATCCTAAAAGCAACTCTGATACCAAAACACCCAAGGAGGACAACTTTCTCTGGGTCCTTTTAGGGTTGCAAGCTCATTGCGTGACTGGTTCAAGCAGTGCATTACAATGAAATAACCCTCGAGTAAAGTCAAATGAGTTCCTCCTCCTTTATTGTATAGTTTCAAAAAGCTCTCAAGCATCATAACTTGCACTTGCATGTTGAAGACCTCAGCCAAGTTCTTATCTCCATGCTGTGCGACTTCCCAGTTGCCCACGACATCCCTGATGCCACATCACATTATTCAGATTCCCTCGGAGCTCTGTGGAGGCAGCTCTCGAAGCTAATTAACCTCTCCTGACCGAAGATAATTAGCTTTAGCCAGGAGACCATCAGCTACAGAGGCAAATCCAAGAGACGAGTCAAACCGGCGCTAAAATCCTTCGCAGCCTTGCAGCTGTCCTGTGACAGTGACCTTTATTTCGGAGGTGTTTTCAAACCTCTGCTAAGTTTTACCTCCTATCTGTCTCGTAATTTGCATTACAAGAAATAGCTTCAGCTACACGTGAGGCTACAGCCTGGGGCTTTCAGAAGCCAAGGGAAAAGCAGCTCACAGCCAGGCACTGTGAAGTGCAGAAGCCAGTTTTTATAAAGAAGTGACCCATTATGCTTCACCCTGAATACAACAGGTGCAAATAATTCTCTTATTTTCAGGTGAAGCAGGAAAAAGTAGTCATTTCTCATTAGAGATACGTTTAGCTAGTTGTTCTGTTTATAGAAGTGCCAAAAAATCTTCATCTCAAGAAGGGATCGCTTGCAGATGAGATGTTCTGCAACCATTCCAAAAGAGCCCTTCCAAAAGCCCAATTTAAAATCAAAACACCAGTGTTAAAAAAAATAAGATATAAAAAAAGGCTTTGGCAACCTCCTGAGTCACAAAACTTGGAAGAGGCCAGCTGTGCTCACAAGCTGATTGCTCAGGATTTGCTTTCTTAAAATAAGATAAGCAAAATATGCAGATAAGGACAGATAATTCTCACCACGGGCTCCTCAAACAGCTCACAGTCTATCAGCAACGCAGCACCGAAGATCTCAGCCACCACGCTAGGCATCTTAATAAGATCTCTTATTGTAAAAATATTATTTTTCAGCAGAGCCCTGATTTAGCTAAGCTCTGACAGGCAGAAGTGACAGCATTAGAAAGGAAATTCGACTTCTCCAGCAGCTCTGGATTTGGCACAGCGCAGTCGCAGGTGACGGCGAGTCTGGATTGCTGCTTGGTGCGGTGGTGGAGCAGGAGCAGGTCGAGCAGCTGACGTTAGGGTTTGTGACATGCGAGTTCATTTGATTGCCACAGTTGTCCTCAGCCATCGCACTTCACAAGAAAGTTAACGAAGCAGTGAAATTGCACGGTAGGCCTTATTATCATTTGATTTAACTGCTAGCCTGAGTTGTAATTGAGTAGAAGCAGCTGCTACGTAGTGTTTCTACAGCCACAGAGACACAGAAAGGTTTGGGTTGGAAGGGACCCTAAAGCCTACCTAATTCCACCCCATGCCATGGTCAGGGCCCCCTGCCCCCAGGCTGGCCTTGGGCACTGCCAGGGCTGGGGCACCCCCAGCTCCTCTGGGCAGCCTGGGCCAGGCCCTCAGAGGGCAGAATTTCTTCCCAATTTCTTCCCGAAGCCTCCCCCCTGCCAGGCTCCAGCCGCTGCCCCTCATCCTGGCCCCCCAGCCCTGACCAAGAGTCCCTCCCCAGCTTTCCTGCCCCCAGGGCCTTCTCTTCCCGAGGCCCACCACCCCCAGCTCTCCCAGCCCCTGAGCATCATGTCATCAGCTCGGTGCCATCAGCAAACCCGCTGAGGATGCACTCAATCCCACTGTCCACATCAAAGCTGTTAAACAGCTCCAGTCCCAATACCAACCCGAGCAGCACCACTCACCACCAGTCTCCAGTTTCTTTAACCTACACAAAAGAAATTAGTTCTGGAGCTGCTACAACACGGGACTTTCCATGCACAGTGATGACCAGATCCTCTCAAAAGTCAGGGGTCTCGTTTTATTTAAGGAAAGCACTCTGTTTTCATCCGTTCTGAAGAACTATTATCAGCTGGTTAATGTATCTGCTGTTCCTATTCAATGACCTTCCGGGAATCCTTCCAGATTTACCGCAGGCCATAAACAAGTCAGGCCGCTGCAGAATAAAGCATTTTGACCAACATCCTTGTTAATACTCTGCTTTTTCACCAGATGATCCCACAGCTCTTCAGCCTACCAAGTCTTCTGAGCTTTCAAGGCCTGAAAACACCCAGTCCCTTCACGTTTCACTTCCCTCCACACACAGATACCATGATCTGGAAGTACCTAAAATACCACCACGAAGATCCAGCTGTTTGCCCCCCGTCCCTCAGTGTTTTCTTGTGGGTTTGTGCTGTTTCGTGGTGAGGGTCAGAGAATGCAGCCAAGGTAAAATGAGCAAAAAGAGCTAGTTTTAAACTCAAGCAGGTTCCTCCAATCCAGCTCACCACCGATGCACCCACCACAAAAGCAGTGAACAGCAGGAGGAGAGGAAGGATAATTTTTTTTTCTTTAATTCAGCAGCTTAAACTGATCCAGACGCCACGCTCTGCTTCCCTTTGGGCTTGAGGAGCTGAAACGATAAAGCTAATCCAACAAAAACACAAGTGAATACGGCTAACAATCCCTTACCATGAACAACATCCCTGCAGAAATGGGGGAGAGGGCAGAAGAGAAGAGGGACAGAGTCAAAAGACAGAGGGGCTGTGCACTGCTGTAGCCTGAACTCAGCTGCTCACGGAGCCACAAGGAGCAGGGACTACCTATAAGCACCTCAAGCATTCCTGACATTTCCTCATTATTTGCTCAAGGTCACACAATGGGCAGCAAAACCAGGAACGCAGAGTTCCGACTCCTGCCCCATCTGCATCGCTTTGTTATTCTCCCACAAGAATCCGGTGACCCCAGAAGAAAACAGAGCTCTGTGCAGGCTGGAGGAGAACGCAGACAGTTTGCTGTCTCTGCTGCTGATCTATTACACCACCAGCTCCGGCTCCAGCCACGAACTGTGAAGCTCAGATGATAAATTTGGGCAACATTCAGCCCATTCTTCCTGCCGTGGAGCCTGTTTTATTAGCCCTGGGATGAGCTGCTGGGAAAAGGAAGAGGCTTTGCTGGTTTTTATCCCTCACCTCTCTCCTACTGCCCTCTCTCACATCCGCTCTTTCAACAAACCTGCTCAGGAGTTCTTGCTCTTCACAGACACGTTAGCACTCCTCCAGATGTTACAGGGATGTCAGCATCCTGCTGCATCCACGCTCCTGAGAAGGATTCACAAGTTGTTGGGATAATCTAACTGTTCCGGGACCCAGTAAAGGTGAACACATCTTCCTGAAGGAAGTTTAAATTTGGCCAGGAAGAGTTTTTCCAAACTGGCTATGGGTTTATAAAAAACAACAACATAAAAAAAGTCCTCCTCACAGCCCCTCCACTTTGATGCTATCAAATAATTCCCAGTGACACCCCACATAACCCGTATCAAGGGCAAGGCATCTTACAAGCTCAATTTCAC